CGATTCCAACCCATAGCGATCCTGTATAGGGTTTCCGAGGAGATGCTGATGACTTTGAACCACCACTCTTGCAGTCCAATACAAGGAGTCCTGGTGTGGTGCTGTGCACTGCAAAGTCATTTGAACTGCAAGGTCAGTGGTTCAAGCTCACCAGCTGCACCTTGGAAACCCTATAAAGGGTAGCTATGGGGCAGAATTGACTCAAAAGCACTTAACAACAACAACATTAACCCACAGCACCACACCAGGACTCCAAGGATTGATTTGTGTCCCCCAAAAATGTTTTACATCCTAACCACTATCCCTGTGGTTATAATCCTATTTGGGAGTATGTTTTCTTTGTTATGTTAACGAACCAGTTTGTGTATAAAATGTGTTTTAAATCAATCTCTTTTGAAATACAAAAGCAGATTATGCAAGCAGCAAGTCAGCAGAGATGGGAAAGATACAAGCCCTGTAACTCACAAGGAACCTAGGAACCTAGGAATAGAAGCTGAAAAGAGACTAGGATCCTGAAGTCTTCTTAAAACCAAACAGTTGTTTAACTTAAAACTACTAAAAAAATGTCTGCCTTGAGCATTATGCTCTTTAAAAGACTGTCTATATATGGAGTCCTGGTATGACGCTGTAGGATAAGCACTGGACTGCTACTAGCAAAAAAACAAACACCACCAGCCACTCCTTGGAAGCCCTATGCTGTTGTTATTGTTGTTAAGTGCCATCAAGTCAGTTCCAACTCATAGCGACCCTGTATAGGGGCTAACTACCTTTGAATCATCAACCTTTCAGTTAGCAGTCCAGTGCTTATCCTACAGCACCACAGCAGGACTCCAATACAGGGTCACTGTGAGTCAGAATGGCACTTAACAACTACAGATGTATCCACTGGAATCCCTACCATAGCCACAATAGTTTCATTGCCCTAGTGTGGTACTATAGGATCAGCACTGGACTGTGAACCACAAGGTCAGCAGTTTAAACCCACCAACTGCTCCTTGGGAATCCTATACAGGGTTGCTATGAGTCAGAATTGACATGACAGCACCAAACAGCAACATGATTATCTCAAGGGGCAGTCCTCTTTTATTCATCGTTGGGACTCTTTGAACCGTTAGATGTGTTTTTAGGACTTGTCATCAATAAATAGAGACTCTGGTTTCCAGAATGCCTGTTGTTGTTGTTGTTGTTGTTGTTGTTGTTGTTGTTGTCAGATGCTGTTGAGTTGGTTCCAATTCATAGTGGCTCCGTGCACAACAGAATGAAATACTGGCGGGTCCTACACCATCTTCACAATTGTCAGTATGTTTGAGTCCATGTTGTTGACACTGTCGATCCATTTCAATGAGGGTCTTTCTCTTTTTCTCTCACCCTCTATTTTACCAAGCATGATATCCTTCTCCAGGGACTGGTCCCTCCTGACAGGATGTCCAAAGTATATAAGATGATGTCTCACCATCCTCGCTTATAGGAAGCATTCTGGCTGTACTTCTTCCAAGAAAGAATTGTTTGTTCTTTTGGCAGTCTATGGTACTTCAATAGTCTTCACCAACATCATAGTTCAAATGCATAGATACTTCTACCATCTTGCTTATCCATTGTCCTACTTTCACATGCATATGAGAAGATCAATAACACCATGACTTTGGGTCAGGTGCACCTTACTCCTCAAACTGACATCTTTGCTCTTGAATACTTTAATGAGGTCTTGTGCATGAGATTTTCCCAATGCAATATGTCATTTGATTTCTTGACTGCTGCTTCCATGAATGCTGACTATGGATCTAAGCAAAATAAAATCTTTTACAATTTCACTCTTTTCTCCATTTATCATGATATTATTTGTTGGTCCAGTTGTGAGGATTTTCATTTTCTTTACAATGAAGTTCAATCCCTACTGTAGTCTTTGATCCAGAATGCTAGGTAAAGATAATAGTATTTATTGTTTATAGAACTTCTGGTATAGTGCTGTAGGATCAGCACTGAACTGTGAACCACAAGGCAAGCAGTTCAAAACCAGCAGCTGCTTCTTGGAAACCCTACAAGAAGCACGTAATAACAGAGCACCCCAGGGTAGTGAAAACAGTTAATGTGCTTGGCTGCTAATGTTAAGGTTGAAGATCCAAAGTCTGTCCAGAGGCTCTTTGAAAGAAAAGCTTGACCATCTAAATAAAAACAAAACTCAGCCATTGACGCACATGGAGTTGCCAGGAGTCAGTATACAGCAATTGGTTTTGTCTTTATAGACACGTCTTTTTTTTTTTTTTTTTTGCAATAGTATTAGAATACAGATGACTCTTATTATCTGAGGAATAATGAGAAACTGAGACCCAACTCAGGAAACTGAAACCCAACAAAGCTAAGCAACATCCTTTCAAAGCTACACACGTACTTTTTGGTGAAGCTGGGTAGGTCTTGAACTGAGGTCATCTAGATCCGGAATCCTAGTTCTCAACCTCTGCACTGGAGGTGTCTCCTAAACATCACCACGAAGAAGACAAGTCTGGCCGCAGAGCTCCAAAAAGAGCAATCATTGGCCTAGATGTAGTGGCATGTCTGAGACCACCTGAGCCAGGCCAAAGGATCTGCACACTGAAGGGGAAGGAAAAAGGAGAAGGAAGTTCTCAATGTAGAAGCCTGCTTCATAGGGTGCTGAGAGGCTTAAATGAGATTATTCTTTCTTTCACTAAATATTTGTCCACCATTGGCATGTCCTCCACTAAGCCATGAAGGTGTTTGGGAGCTACCTACCTCATACTTCTAAAACACCTCACTCCATCCCTCCCACATCCTCTGTGGAGCCCCAAGACAGCTGGGTTCCCTCAGAACAAGTGACATGAAGCCTCACTATTTCAGCAGCAACAATCTCTGGTCACCCTATGACTATTTCTGTCCCAGATGTCCAGACAACACAGGGACAGAGGAGACAGTGTTTCTGGCACTGGCCAAAGGATTCATCACAGCTCTTTGCTTAATAAGGCCTTTAAATTACCTCAATAAAGAGGAGGCTAAATGCTTAACCGCTGTGGAGAGTGTTTTATTGATTGGAGGAGACGCTCTGGCCTGCCTGCCTGCCTTCCTAGGGCTGAGTGGGAGCTGGGCCAACCGGGTCTCAGGGGGCAGCTGCCGGGTGTGAAGTGCTTAAGAGTTTCTTCAAGCTCTGGAGAGCAGTGGGCACTGTACCTGAGTGACATCGGCACTTGCGGGCCAGAATTTGGGAGTTCGTGGTTCCCCTCAGATAGTGTGGCTACTGAACAAAAAGATAAAAGTCATTTTCAAGTTAATTTTAAATATTACTAAAATATGTGTTCAACAAATACATTTTAAAAGGTCAAAGGCACGTGTGGGTTGAATCCCAGCAGGACCCAGCTAAGCCTACATGGTAGTCTGCTTATTGTCTCTGAGCCTCAGGCCTGCATCTGTACAATGGGGAGAATACAAAGCTCTCTGGGGTTCCTGGAGCTACTTGAGATAAAGATGTAAAAGTACCTTGGAACTTGTACCTCTCCACTTGAATAGAAAGTGGGTTTGTTGTGTCTAATTTTTATCATAAATGAGCTCAAGTTATTCTTCTGCTTAAAACTCATCTCTGGGTCCTTGTTACACTTGGGATAAAATTCATTGTCTTCACCCTAGCCCTCTAGACCCCGTCTGATCTGGCCAGCCCCTGCCTGCTTCCTTGGCCCCTTTTCTATGACAACATCCTCCCACACCCCAACCACACACACACACACACACACACACACTGTGCTCCAGCCTCCCTGGCCCTCCAACAATTCCTAGAACCCCCAAGCCAAACCCCTTCCTACCTCAGGGCCTCTATACTTCTGTGATCCTCCTGCCTAGAATACTCATCTTGAGTGTTTTGCAAGGCTGGACCCTTGCGTTTCAGATCTTAGCTTAAATGCTACCTCCTCAGCGAGGCCTTTCCTAACCATATTCCCCCCACTGGATACTCAACACCAAAAAACACTGCAATTAGTGAATTCTGACTCACAGCAAGTCTGTAGGACCAAATAGAACTGGCCCCAAAGGGTTTCTGAGACTGTAAATCTTTACAGAAGCAAACTGCCATGTCTTTCTCCCATTGGAGCAGCTGGTGGGTTCAAACTTCCAATATTCCGGTTAGCTGTCAAGCACTTTATCCACTGTGCGACCAGGGCTTCTTTCATGGGGTACAGCACCTGTCTACTCTCTTCATGGAAATAACTGCAAGCCACAATTCTGTTTAGTACTCATTTCTTTGTGTATGGTTTCCCCTCCGTAGGATGTTGGTTCCATGAACATAAGAAGAACCTCGTCTGTTTTATTCACTCCCAGGTGATTTCATAGTCCCTGGCACGTGGTTACTGTTGTTAGGTACCACCAAGTCGGTTCTAACTCATAGAAACCCTACGCACAACAGTACAAAACACTACCCGATCCTACACCATCCTCACAATTGTTACGTTTGAGCTCATTGCTACTGCCCCTGTGTCAGTCCATCTCATTGGGGTCTTCCTCTTTTTCACTGACCCTCCACTTTACCAAGCATGATGCCCTTCTCCAGGGACTGGTCCCTCCAGATTACATGTCTGAAATGTGAGAGATGAAGTCTCATCATCCTGGCTTCTAAGGTGCATTCTGGCTGTACTTCTTCCAAGACAGATTAGTTTGTTCTTCTGACAGTCCATGGTACTTTTAATATTCTCCTTCAGCACCATAACTCAAATGCATCAATTCTTCTACGGCCTTCCTTATTCATTGTCCAACTTTCACATGCATATGAGGTGACTGAAAATACCATGGCTTGGGTTAGGCACACCTTAGTCCTCAAACTGACATCTTAGCTCCTGTACACTTACGAGAGATCTTTTGCACATGGTAGGCATGCTAGACAATTGTTGAAGGAACAAATGAATGAATGAGTGATGAGTCAATAGATGAATGGTTGGCAGGGGAGCCTGGCTTGTTATACAGAGAGTCCCTCTCTTCCTCACATCCTGCTATTGTCTCTCTCTCAGATATGGAGATATGGTGCCCAAGACAATTGCAGGGAAGATCTTCGGGTCCATCTGCTCCCTGAGTGGCGTCCTGGTCATTGCCCTGCCGGTCCCTGTGATTGTTTCCAACTTCAGCCGGATTTACCACCAGAATCAGAGAGCTGACAAACGTAGGGCACAAAAGGTAAGACTCTGACACAGGAAGGGAGCACCTTAAGGACTAGAAGGGCAGCACCAGAGAGGGGCCTGGACTTTCTCTTTTGTGCCTCCTGTGTCAGGTGACCGGGCTAACGTTCCTGAGAGAGTTGCTGCTCAGACAGCCTCCAGCTTTGGAAAGTAAAGCAACCTCTTGCCACTTTCTAATGACCAGCGTCCTGCAGTCCAGCCCCAGTCACTTGCAAAATGCACCCACCACCCCTCAATTAGTCACAAGCTGATTTTCTCCCTTTTGAATGTTCTACAGCCATTTCCTTGGCTCCGGGCTCTCCTCTGGCTCTCTCGGCCACCGCAGTCAGCCTCTTGGACTCTTCCCTCTCCCAGTCAAAAGCTTGCTGGGATACATAATCTCTTTTTAATATCCTACAATAGCCGATACAAAACATAGCAACAAAAATAAATTTGCTGAAAAGAAAAATGAATACTATAAAAAGAAAACATTCTGAGGCCACTGAGCTCAGGGACAAACAGCACAACAGGCTTGAGTAACCTCACAACACTGCAACTGTTGATCAGGAAAATAGTCATTAGTTCACTTATGTCCCCTACACACTGCTTGTAGTGATTGTTGTTGTTAAGTGCCATCCAGTCAGTTCTGACTCATAGCAACACTGTACAGCGTTTCCGAGGAGTGGCTTGGTGAGTCTGAACTGCTGACCTTGTGGTCCAGTGCTTATCTTACAGTGCCATACCAGGACTCTGAGATTCCATTTGTTGTTGTTGTTGTTAAGTGCCGTCAAGTCAGTTCTGACCCATAGTGACCCGGTATAGGGTTTCCAAGGAGCAGCTGGTGAGCTTGAACCACCAACCTTGCTGTTCAAACTGACTTTGCAGTCTAGCACCACATTTTGCCCACAAAATGGGAGACATGTCTGCGGGCTTTGATGCTTAGAAAGAAGTTTCCTTTTTCTATCTGGAATAACTCATCCACTCTACCGGCTTCCCTTCACCCACATTTTTAAGGCAGCTGGCTAGTGAAAGTTCTTTTCAAAAAAAAAAACATTACCACCAAGCCAGTTCCAATTCACAGTGACCCCATGTGTTACAGAATACACTGGCTGGGTAGGGTTTTCTTCACTATAATCTGTATAGTGGAGTCCTGGTGTGGCACCATAGGATAAGCACTTGACCTCAAGGTTTGAACTGCAAGGTCGGTGGTTCAGACTCACCAGCCCCCGAAACCCTATACAGGGTCGCTATGAGTCAGAACCACCTCGACAGCACTTAACCACAACAACAACTATCTTTATAGCAGCAGATCGCTAGGCATTTCTTCCATGGTGCCTCTGGCTAGATTGAAACCACCAACCTTTTGGTTAGTTGTTGTTAAGTGCTGTCGAGTCCATTCCGACTCATAGCAACCCTGGTGACTTTGAACCACCAACCTTGTGGTTCAAACCAATCTTGCTGACCAGTGCTTTATCCCACAGCACCACACCCAGACACCAGCACAAACCATTTATGCTTTTCCAGGACCAGTGAAGATTTTTAGGTAGTGACTTTTACTAGGATTCCAATTAGGAAGGGCTGAACTGAAATACGGAACATCACCAGCAGGATCCTAGACATGGGGAACCCATCCCAACCTCCAGAGAGCATGGCCAGAACTTTTGAGAGCACCGTGGACAGGGAGGGACTTCCTTAAAACATTTTGACTCCTTATTTTATTTTTTCTTTCATTCCTTCATGCATGCCACACACACTTCCTGAGACTGTAGATTCTTCCTTTCCACACAATCTGTGCCAAGGACCTTCCACTTGCAGTGGTAACTCCCAAGGAATACGGCTTCCTTGACATATTAATGGAATCCAGGATTTCAGAATACTGGCTGAGGACCTGTAGGATAAGCACTGGACTGCAACATTGGCAGTTCAAACCCACCAGCTCTCTTGGAAACCCTATTGTGTTTCAACACAACCTTGTTGTGTTCCATAAAGTCAGGCCACTATGAGTTGGAACACAACAACAACATGCTGGCTGAAGCATGGAGACTAGCTCTAAAATGTAGGAGCAGGGAATTACAGTGTGTTCCCACATATTCCAGTTTGTGTGCCTTCATGGTTCCCTCTGTGCCCTTCTACTCCCCATGCCTGTGCTGAAATGTCCTTTACTTCTCTTCCCTGGGTCTGTAATGTCACCAGCCTTCCTTCAGCTTCCTCTGTCCTCTCCTTCCTTTCCAGCACCTGTTTCCCCACCCCACCCAGGCCTACCAGCTTCTCCACAGGAGAAAGTTGAGGCTTGCTGCTCCTGTAAAGATTTACAGCCACGTAGGCCCTATACTGGGTTGCTAAGAGTAGGAACCAATTCGACGGCACACCACCACCACCATCCCTGCCAGCCATCCCATAAATAGAAGTCTTATCTCTTCCCATGATTCAGTCAGCTAGAAATTTTTAACAGTACCTAAATTCATTATACACACTTAAATAAAGGGACAGCAACAAACTGAGGTCTCCTTTTCAAAGCAAGGAGCCTGAGGCTGTGAAAAAAATGGGGATTCTATAACAAACCCACCTCCAGAGGCGAGGGCTGACTTACAGGTACGGGCAGAGTAATCGGGGTTTAAAGCAGTCCTCAGCCCCACACACTGCCCGTAACTGTTCCCACTCTGGTGACAGCCTCACTGACCCTATGTTCTAGGGAGCCTCCCAGCAATTCCCCTCCATACCCACATCTATGTCTACTTCCAAGGGCATCTCAGCTGCTGTCTCTTTGCCCCTGCAGAGAATCTGACAGTGGACATTTCCCTTCGGATTTTATAAAGCTCATCCATTGTGATTAAAATCCCAAAGGTCTAAGCTTTAGCTTATTCCTTCCTCTAGCAGCTGAAGATGAGTCTCCCTACCCGCCCTCATCACTCTCCCGCTCTGTCTTCTCTCTCCCTTTGAAATCAGAGTAAATATTTACAGTGTTTTCACCTAGCGTGGATACTGTCTCTCCTCAAGGTTGTTCAGCTCTGTCTCATTCACCTTGGGCATCCTTTGAGAGGAAGAAAAGAGCACTGTCTATACAAGTCTGTCCTCACAAATGAAGGCAGGCAGGTCCAGGGGATTGGAAGAGCAGTGGAGATGGATAGGGTGGGGAGGCCTAAGTGTAAGGACAGTTCTCAGCCCAGACCAGACACTTAGGGACTAGAACAGCCACAAAGGCAAGCACCAGCCTACTTGCCTTCAGTGTGAAGGAAAGGCTCGAGAAGATGGTGTCACCCTGTTCTTTCCATCATGACTGGTTTGCGTGGGATTGTTACTAGGGTGACTCCACAGTTATTTGTTTCAAAGACTGTGTTCTCTGTGCCTAGTGGATTGAGATTATAGTGGTGTGGTGGTGTAGCCGTGGACAGAGAGACGGAGCATCCTGGAGTGGATGATTTGGTCCCCATGCCTGGATCTGATGTCTGCCCATTGTGTGTGTGTGTGTGTGATCAATGACATACTAAAACATTGCCAGTTTTAAGTGTACAATAATAGTTCAGTGACAGTACAATACTTTAGAATCCTGGTGTGGCGCTGTAGGATAAGCACTAGACTTCTAACTGCAAGGTCAGCAGTTCAAATCTACTAGTCATTCCTCAGAAACCCTATACAGGGTCACTATGAGTCAGAATTGACTCAATGGTACTTAACAACAACAACAATTTAATGACATTAATTCCATTCACCATGTTGTACAACCCTCACCGCTATTTCTAAAAGTTTTTCATCACCCCAAATGGACACTCGGATGCCCCTTCAGCAATAACTCTTCATTCCTTCCTTCCTCCAGCCCCTGGTAACCACTAATAAACTTTTGTCTGGATACATGTGCCGAGTCTACATATATCCTATAAGTGGGATCATATGATATTTGTCTTTTTGTGTGACTTATTTCACTCAGTATAATGTATTAGAACTTCATTTCTCTTCATGGCTGAATAATATTCCCCAATGCTTTTATTGAGATCATTGTAGATTTACATGTAGTTGTAAAAAAAAAAAAAAAAAAAAAAATACAGAGATATCATTATACACTTCGCCCATTTGTAACATTTGCCCAATGGTAATGTTTTATAAACTTATGCTACAACATCACAACAAAGAGACTGACCATCCTAGAATATTGATCCTTCTTGTTGTTGTTAAGTGCGGTCGAGTCGGTTCTGACTCATAGCGACCCTGTATAGGGTTTCCGAGGAGCAGCTGGTGAGTCTGAACCACCGACCTTATGGTTCAAACAGACCCTAAAGTCCAGTGCTTTATCCCACAGTGCCATAGAATAATGAGACAATCTGCCTACTGTGTGTGTGTGTATGTATGTGAAGTTCTATACAGTTTTGTCATAAAGGGGGCTTCAAAAAGTTTGTGGAATAAGTGATATTGCTTGAGAGGATTGCAGTTGTTGAGATGAAACGAAGTGTACAACTTGTTGACTGTAAAACTAATGATCTGCTATGTAAACCTTACTCAATTCACAATATAAAGGTTGTGTGTGTTTTTCAAACCATGGGAAAATGGAATTTTTCCATGAAGTCCCCTCATAATGTGTACTTTCGTGCATATACCACCACAGTCAAAATACAGAACAGCTTCCCCACAATAAGGATTCCCCTGCTCCCATTTTACAAGAGTGCTTCAAAAAGTTCATGGAGAAATTTCACTATCTTTCAATTCCATTTTTTCATGAACTTTTTGAAGCCCCTCATATAACTATTCCCTGCCACCCCACTTCATCTCTAAGTCCAGGAAGCACTTATCTCACTTCCATTTATGAAATGTTTTCACTTCAAAAATGTTATGTAAATAGGATCATATGTAACCTTTGAAGGCTGACTTTTCACTTAGCATAGTTCCTAGAGACTCATCCAAGTTGTTGAATGTATCAGTAGCTAGTTCCTTTTTTGTGACTGAGTAGGAGTTTCATGGAATGGATGTGTCACAGTTTAACCATTCACCTGTTGAAGGATATTTGGAATGATTAGAGTTCGGGGTTTTTACAATGAAGCTTCTATAAACGCTCATGTGTAAGTTTTATGTGAATGTAAGTCTTCATTTCTCTGCGATAAATTCCCAAGAGTACAATTGCTCATTTTCTCTACTGGCCTTTCTATTTTTTCCTTATTTTGCCTCTCCCAGAGAAAGATACATAAATACTCACAGCCAAAGGTACTTGCTAGCCACCAATCAGGAAGTGCCAATCATGAAGGGTTTCTTAGAGACAGATTGGTAGATCATGGGTCCAAGCATTAACGGAACTGGAACTGTACCCAGGGTGTAGCATCCTTCTTCCAGATCTCTCCATCAACCCTGTAATCTCCACCCCGGTTGGAAATGCAGCTTCCTGGGCTACTCTTGAGTTTTGAAACTTGCCTGAGCAGAGTTGAATTCAGAAGAGGAGAAGGCAAATGTTAGGGAAATCGCATTGGCAGACGTGAAGTCAAATCTTGCTAGTCCGCTACTTTGCCCTTGATATAAGTCACTTCCCCTCACGCCCTCCACATTCTCATCTTTAAAACAGTCTAGATGACCTCATAGCCATGGAAGAGAGTGAAGCTGACCAGTCCACATAAGAATTAAGCCCATCACAGAGAGATAGTTGACGCTGAATCATGGTGACGCTGAGTCATGGTACAGTAGAATGAAATGTTAGGCAGGCCAGAATCATTCTCACAATCACTAGCACGTGAGCCCATTGATGCAGCCATTGTGCCATTTCATTGCACCAAGGGCCTCCCTTGTGGCCATCATTGGCCTCTACTTTACCAAACATCATGTCGTCTTCTAGCAATTGATTCTTCCTGATGATGTGTGCAAAGCAAGTGAGGTAGACAATGTTCTATTATGATCCATAACGTTCTCATTGACTAGTTTTCAGAAGTAGAGCAACAGCCTTTTTTCCAAGTCTGTCTTATTCTGGAAGCTTCACTGAAACCTGTGCATCATGGGTGACACTTCTAGTATCTGAAATGCCTGTGACATAGCTTCCAACATCACAGCAGCATGTTAACCACCAGGTACAACAAACGGACAGATGGATGGATTAAGCCCATTACAATGGCTTCATTAACATACATTTCTAACCAGCTGTGTTTGATCATCTTCCTTCCTTGGTCATCACAATTTTTTTTGGTCTATTTTTTTTTAAGTATGAAGCCCTGTGATAGGTACTGGAGATGAAAACCACAGTCCCTACCTCTGTGACACTCAGGGTCAACCTAAACAGTCCCATCAAACTTCCTAAGCTGGATATGACTCTGTAAATACATTGCAAACCTCTTATCCCGTGGGGGAAATGATTAAACGATCTAGTGCATTTGATATGACAATCTGTTGCTTTAATAGAGCTCAGGGTAAGATAAGATTAAAAGAAGTGCCACAAAGGAGAACAGGAGAATCTTTCATCTGTAGAAAGTAATGAAGACAGACCCCAGATACGAAAAAAGGTCTGGCTCTAAGTGGTGCAATCAAATTATGTAAGGCTATAATGAGCTTGACACAATTGAATTTCCATATGCAGCTCTCAACACCCAGTGCCCACCCAAAGCAATAACAGCCACGTCTTCCAGTGATGAACAACTTGCTTGAATGTCAACGTCTAGCGGAAGGGAGGGCAAGCGCATGATTCCCAGGGAGGGGAATTGGCCTGCATCCTGAATGAGTGCTCTTTGCTCAGAAAGTAAAGGAATGACAGGTCTGATTAGCTACCTTTCTGTCCCTGGTTCCCCTTTCAGTTCTTTCCATTTGGGGAAGCATCCTCCCTTGGAGTTAGGGGTAGATCATCCGGGATCTGGTCCTAGGATTTGTCCTCATATGTAACAGACAGGGAAGGGAGTTGAATTGTCCCTGCTAGGAATCCGTGGCCAGTAGGGGTCGTCCCAGGAAATCGGAGACATAATGCATCCCTGGTGTTTCTGGTGACAGTCTGATCTCCTGAGTCTCTGGCCTCATTTTACAGATGAACCAGAAAAACAGGACACTTGGATAGGGCACTGCCCCATGTTGGAAACAGGGTGACAAAAAATAGAAATTGAAGCAATTGTCCAAGGACGCCCCTCCTGCTCAGAATCCATGCTGAGGTTACATGTACACTTACCCAGAAGTGTCTGCCCCAAGAGAAGTCTATAAGTCTGGGTGGGCTCTTCTGCTTCTGGAAGCAAGAACCTAGAGCTGTGTCGAATTCTCCACAGCTCAACCCCAAGCTGCATTTTTTTTTTTTTTTAAATCAGTAGGTCCCCTTCTTTCCAGTCCCATCTCCCAAAGACTCTTCCCTCTTAGCCCTTATTCCATAGCTGTGCTGTTGTCATGGTTACCCAGATTATGGTCATTAGGAAGGGACAGCAGCATGTGCAGGTGGCCAGCCTGCCCCACTGCCTCTGCAAGCAGGAGACGTACTGGTACGTCAGGACATCAGGCAGCCCTCCCCTCAGGAGAGTTTTTCTGCAGAAGGCTTCCTGCTCTGAAGCTGGGGAGATGTTCAGTTGTCCTGGTTAAATCCAGAGGGGTGTGTGGAGATGTCCTCTCTCCATCTTCTCTCTCTCACCCAACAGTCACCTTCTGGTAGCGTAGTGGTTATGAATCAGGCTGCTAACCTCAAGATCGGCAATCTGAAACTACCAGCTGTTCCCCAGGAGAGAGATAAGCTTTCTGCTCCCGTAAAGATTTACAGCCTCGGAAACCCTGTACAGGGTCACTATGAGTCGGAACCGACTCCACGGTACTTAACAACAACAACATGCATTCCCACAGCCAACCCTGACAAAATAAACATGTATTCACACAGTCATACATGAAGCCACTCTTAAAGACAGACCACCATTAAAAATTCATTTCGTAATTTTAAAAAAAAGAAAAATTGAGGGCTTAAGTAAACCTCGAGTAACAAAACAGGTAAGACTCAACTACTAGTCAAAAGACTGGCGGTTAAAACCCACTCAGAGGCCCTAGATTTCTGACAGCCTAATAGCCTGCTTCTGAAAGGGCCCGATCTTGAAAACCCTTAGGGAATGCAGTTGTACGCACATTTGGGGCCCATCGTGAGTCAGAATCAATTTGAAGACAACTTAACAATTGTAACATTAGGTACTAGGCACTGCAGATATATCAGTAAACAAAATAGAAATGCCTACCCTCAAGGAATTTACATTCTAGTGGAGAGAGACAGCAGTGAGATCAATCAATAGAACATAGACAATGTTAGTGTTTAGTGCTGAGGGAAAAAAGGAAAGCAGGGAGGGAGTTAAGTGTTGAGCAGCAGGTATACAAACTCCTTGCTTTTCTTATAATTAACTAATATGTGGGCACCAGTTTAGTATGCAGGGGCCTGCACTGGATGGTGGGGGAGAATCAGGAGAGATATATAGTCCTTTGGGGAACTTGCAGTCTACTTAGAGATAAGACATACCCCAATAGCACAAAGCACTGTGAGCTGCTGAGTATATAAAGGTCAAGAGACTTTTCTCTTGCCAAGATTACACCTGCTGGAGAGATGAGTGGAAACCCCTAGGAACTCTGTTCGTGACCAACTTACACAAAAAGGAAACACTGTCTCAGACCCCGTCCAAGGTCTACAACCAGAGATCCATGAACCCAAAAGAAGCAGCCCCCTTCCCTTCATCGGACATCACCTGGGAGCACATCCCCATGGGGGACAGCCCACTCTCTGGCTTTGCCAGGCTCACTATCTTTTTATATCTCAGTCTCCCTCACTCTTGTCTCTGCCAATCACAGAAAGCCCGCCTTGCCAGGATCCGTGTGGCCAAAACAGGCAGCTCCAATGCCTACCTGCACAGCAAGCGCAATGGACTCCTCAATGAGGCTCTGGAGCTGATGGTAAGGTGCCAAAAAGGCCTGGGCTGTGGGAAGTGGGTGAGAAGACGGGCTTTTTTCTCTTTTCCAGGGCACCAGCCTTCCTACCCACAAACCCCTACCCCCTGAGAAAGCCATGTTTGCAAACTTTCCCCAGGTATCAGATCTCCAACATACCTCTTCCATATGGTTATCAACACTACTCCTAATCCAGACAAGAGCCCGCAGACTCACATCTGATTCAGCGAGACTTTTCTGGTGCCTTTCCTATCTCCTGTGAAAGAGGAGTCACTCACCTTATACTCAGCAGCTCGTCTTTTCTTCCTAGGGCACCCCAGAGGAGGAGCACATGGGAAAGACCACCTCGCTCATTGAGAGCCAGCACCATCACCTGCTGCACTGCCTGGAAAAAACCACTGTAAGTCCCTGCCATCTCCCTCTCCTCCCTGACCTCTGGCCCCTTTCTGAGCTTGAATGCTGTCTTCTTCAGATCCAAAGGGTAGTGGCGAGGTCACTCTATCACCCCTCAGGCAGGTGGCTCAAGGAGTGAGATGAAATCTGGGGAGGACTGCTCTATCCTGCAGCAGCATAGAGAAGACTTTCCACACAAACCCATGGTCCATGGCCTGGTTACTGAGGGGCTATTGGTTTCTCAGTTCTGATGTTCCGATGGGCATCTCCCTCCACAACTAAGACTGAATTTGTACTAGATCACTACAGAATAGCAGAGACAGCATCCCTTCTTGCCCCACCCCTGTTGCTCAGCTGATGCAATCTGTGGGCCCCTTCGATCGCTACATGCCTTTCAGAGCAGGAAACAGTAGATGAAGGAGGCATTGCATCTATTTCTCTAGCCAGGGAGTTTATCAGTACTATCCCCCAGTAAAGACTCCTGGTGTGGCGCTGTGGGTTAATGCGCTGGAATGCAAAGTCAGTTTGAACTGCAAGGTCGGCGGTTCAAGCTCACCAGCCGCTACTCAGAAACCCTATGCAGAGTGGCTATGAGTCAGAACCAACTCTATGGCACTTAACAACAATAACAACCCCCTGTCAATCACTCTGCAATTCCCAAGAGTTCAGATCCTGAAAGGCTGATTGTTAATGAAAGTCATGGCTTAGGGTGCCATGACTGGAATGTGGAATGATGCTTGTGCCTCACCAACAGACTGGAAAGGAAGGGCAGTGGGGCTAACCCTGGACCCTTGGCAAAAAAAAAAAAAAAAAAATGCTAGGACTAGCAGGCAGGGAGGAGAAATCAGGGTGGACAGCCAGAGAGCAACAAAGTGAAACCCTTCGCTCGTCCTTTTAAAAACCTCCCTCCCTCAAGAGCACACTAAGAAAGGAATTTTTTAACACCAAATGTTCTAGATCTTGGCCTCCCGGATACATGGGAGAATAGATGCTAAATGACTCTTAAGCTAAGCCAAATGTGGACACTGTGGGTGGCAGTTGAACCCAATGAGGACTTCCAAAATGGGACGGTCCCCTGCAAGCCCTAGTTTTCAGGACTCATCCAATATTGCTTAGCTCTAAGAGCCAGGAATATAGTATACCTGTCATTTGATTTCAAGGACTTAGAGAAGTGCTGAAGCCAAAGGGATAGGCCCAGACCCAACTGCCCTTTCCAAGTTGCATGTGCTGGGAATGTGCAAATTTAAAAACATGTAAAAATATTTGGGGTGAGGGGCTGGAATGTTGGCATTGAAGAAATGAAATTTTGGAACTGAGGGATGGAATGCTGTCACTGAAGGCTGGATTGCTGAATTTGCAGCAAAAGAATGTTGGATTGTGGGGTGGGATGATGGGATTCTAAAATGGAATGCTGGATTTTAGAAAAGGAATGTTGGGCTCAAGGGGGCCAAATGTTGGGATAGAAGAGGCAGAATTTGGGGAGTGGAATGTTGGGTTTGAGTATGTTGGAACCAAGGGGTAGAATGCTGGGAGGAAGGGATGGTATGTTGAACTCAAAGGGTGGAATGCAGGGATTAAGAAAGCGAATGTCAAAACTGAGCTTGGGAATGCTGGAATGTACAATCAATGGTGTTTTTATCTTCTGTTGGCATGTTGTCCTGTAGGGGTTGTCCTATCTTGTGGATGATCCCCTGTTATCTGTACGAACCTCAACCATCAAGGTATAACTTTTTAAAAATTCAATTGATGTTTTTCTCTCTGATTCTTCTGAGTCTGTGGATTCTCCTCTTTTTATCTCCTGGTCTAGTTCTGTGCATGTGCTGCTGGGTCGTCTGGGGCTTACCCTACCTCTGCTGTCACACCCAACACCAGCTCAGGCTTCCAGGCCCCTGTGCTGAATCACCCAACTGCCTTTCTGATGCCCTCTTTTGACCTCCCTAGGGGCTTTGAGGGGTGGTGGAAGATGGCACCACTGTAGGGTCCCTGTGCCACCTCCCCCAATCCATGGGGACTCCTGGGATTGGCTGTAAGGGCTAGTCTCTCTCTTATCTCTGTTCTCATGCTACTTCTCTGCAAATTTCCTCACTCTGGCAGCCTTGGCCAGACCATTAATGCTCATAGGATTGTAGTCACCTTGACCAGTCATATTTTAGTTGTCCCATGTTAGGCTATATCTCGTCCTCACGCCTCCAATCAGGAGACTGGCTGTTAGCATTCCTTTCCCATGCTTACGCTTGACTTTGGAAATCCTGTGTCTCTAGGTATATTAAGGATCCATATTCCATAATCAGGAGAGGGAGCAAGAATTAAGTCATATCCCTGATCATTTAACCCATTGACCATCAAGAGCAATGTTTTCCCAATTCTAGGAATAATCCAGGGCCCTTTACCCAAGATCATAAAGATCTCGCCCATTAAATCCAGAAAAGACAAACTAGCATACCCACTGCTCATAGCCCATGACCCCAGTAGACATGGTGCAGGGGAAAAGTAGACTTCTTGCTTCTAGCTCTTATAATGCACTACCTTAGAAGCGCAGAGCTTTGGATGGGGTGTGGGTCACATCCTGACTTAACAAGCAAGTGCAGACCCCATCCTTCAATCTGATGGCCAGGGCTGCCAAGATGTTTCTCCTCTTTCTCATCTGATACCTGTGGGCTTTCACCCCTCCTGAATGTTGATCTGTGCTCCAGGCAGCTGGGAGCCCCTCCTTCAAGGCCCAGAACAGAGATTGGTAGCCATATAGACTATGGGGGCTCACCTCCCCCCACCACCTCCTTTCCTACGTCTCCTCCTTCTGCCTCCCACAGAACCATGAGTTTATTGATGAGCAGATGTTTGAGCAGAACTGTATGGAGTCCATGCAGAACTACCCATCCACAAGAAGCCCCTCACTGTCCAGCCATCCAGGCCTCACGACCACCTGCTGCTCCCGCCGCAGTAAGAAGACCACACACCTGCCCAATTCTAACCTGCCAGCCACCCGCCTGCGCAGCATGCAAGAACTCAGCACTATCCACATCCAGGGCAGCGAGCAGCCCTCCCTCACTACCAGGTGAGTGACTATTGTCCCCGTAACCCCCATCATTCCAGTCATGGAGTTAAGCAATCTCAGAGTAGAAGAACCTTGGGGGTCCTTTAGCCTCCCCTTGTCTAACACATGTGCTCCCTCTGCCTGCCTCTCCCCCACACCTTACTTTTCATCCTTGCAGGTTAAACTTTGCTATGCTGTTGGAAGATACTATAGCAGGCTTAGTCCGGAATGTGGGTTTACATACTCAGAAAAACAAATGCAAAACTTTCCTACCTTAGTGCAAAGAATGGCTTGTCCCTGACAGATTTGGAAACACCAACTGACTTGCCCCTCCCTCCCACTATGTCTAATGAGTTGCAGGGGATTCAGAGAAAGCAAAAGTCAAATACCATGATCCATTGGAGGGGGAGGATGTGCATCCTGAATTGTGAGTGGTTTAGGAATAATCATTCGAGTGGGCTTCTAAAAGTTTTTTGGTAAAATGAAATTGAAAGATAATGGGCTTTTTTGAAGGGCCCTGGTACAAGCTGATTACCAAAGGCAGAGGTAGAAGGGACACCAAAATTTGGTCCTAGTGACTCTGGGCAAGAAATGTAGGGGTAACAGAAGCTTGGGGAGGCTTGCCATCACCAACTCACTCTTTTCTATCCCAGTCGCTCCAGCCTTAATTTGAAAGCAGACGACGGACTGAGACCAAACTGCAAAATGTCCCAGATCACCACAGCTATCATCAGCATCCCCACTCCCCCAGCGCTAACCCCCGAGGGGGAAAGTCGGCCTCCCCCTGCCAGCCCGGGCCCTAACACGAACATTCCCTCCGTAGCCAGCAACGTTGTCAAGGTCTCCGCCTTGTAAAGCCACTGGACAGAGGGTCAGAGGGTAGTGGGAAGCAAAGGGGGCTGGCATGTTGGTGGGTGGCCACTGGGACCACTCCCTCCCCCTTTCCCCACTATTTCTGCCTGTCCCATTGCACCCCTAGCACTGAAACTTGTGCCTGGAAAGAAAAAGAGGCAGCAAAGGGGCGCCTGGCGTTCACTCCTGCTGGCGTGGACAGAGCCCCAGGCCAGGATCCTGGGTCTCACTGGGGCCGGAAGAAGGGAGGGCGGGTGGGGGGCGAGGGATGGGGCAGTGGGGGTATAGGCTGTGTTCCAGGACAGGCCTGGAGATGTGAGCCTCACGCCAAATAACAGTTGTTTCTGGAGACCCCAGTGAGGAAAATGCAAGACCAAGAGCAGCACAGAGGCTGTAGTCACATGCAAAACAGGACGAAAATATAACACTGTGTATTGAAGCACCTTTTTCAAGGCCCTTAATGGATAATATTTATTCATGGGAAAAGGTGGAAAACAAAACAAAAAAAAAAACACCAACGGATTTTTTGTGAAGTGTTTTTCTCCATGGACCCAACACCTTTGAACCAAATCAATGCGTTTTGTGAGGGATTTTGTTTTGTTTCGTTTTTTCCTCCTTTTATAGAAAAAGCTTTTAGGCTAAGAAGTCAGTTACTGCTGAGTTCTCTCTCCATTCCCCCAGGTGGGTGAGGTCAACTGAGCTTGGGTCCCCAAGGCCCAGCTGACCTGATGACCACACAAGCAACCCTTTCCTGTCTGTCCCTGTCTCCCCT